CATTCCTGCCATATCCCATGGGCTGTGGAGGTCGCCTGCTCAGCCGATCAGCGCTCACTCCAAGCTACAGCATCCCCAGCCCTAGAAGAATGGGAGTTCATCCTCCTCCCAACCCTCTCCTCCCCTCAGTCTGTGGCCCTCTCATCCAGTGCAGCCCCTCTGCCTTCGCTGAAGGCTCTCACTGGCTCCCTGTGACCCCTCAAAGCTTTGAGGGGTCACTCCATTGAGCATTGAGATTCGCTTTTCCAAGGGCCTCGCCTACTCAGAGCTCAAGGACAACACACCACTCTGACTTAACTGGTGAGCAGAAAGGGGACTACTTTGCTCTGATGGCCCAAGCCACCGTGTGTTTCGAATTATGGCATCTGCTTTTGAGAGTGGCTCTGGTCTCCTCCTTTTGTAGCATGCTTGCCCAAGCCTGCACGTCACCACTTACCCCCACCCTAACCCCAGCCCTGTCTCTTCCCCACATTCCAGCTCCTCTGGCAGGGACTTAGAGACTCCGGGTTTGTGATGTGCCAGGCATTGAGCTGATACTCAGCCCCAGGAAGGCGAGCCCTGCTGTATCCACCTCACAGAGAAGGAACGTGAGGCTCAGTGCAGTGACTTGCCCGTGGTGACTTCCAGCTACCTCGGGCTGCCGTAATGACGTGCCATGGCTCCATGGCTGAAGCGACACACTTATTTTCTCGTAGTTGGGGAGGCCGGAGGTCCCAGACGAGGGGGCCATCAGGGCTGGCATCTCCTGAGGCGCCTCGCCTTAACTTCAGATTGCAGCTGCCTTGCCACTCGTCGGCCTCGCCTCGGCGCCGCATCCCTGGGTCTCTCTGTCCAGAGTTCGTTTCCGTGAGGACATCACTCTTAGATGAGGACCCCTCCTACTGGATTCATTTTAACTTAATCCTTTAAAGCTGTCTCCAAATATAGTCACATTTTGCGGGGGGCTTCAACCTCCAGATTTCAGGGAGACAAAATCCAGCTGGTAACAGCCATCCGGCTCACTGCGGGGCAGAGCCAGTTGCTGGCTGTGTTGACTCTGACCTTCCCCGGCTGTGGGCGGAGAAAGCCGACCCCGCTCGTTCTGACTAGGAGAGGGGCTGCTCTGGGCTTGCTCAGCACCCTTCCTGTCCTCCGTGGTCCGGATCACTGGAGCAATTCCATCAGGCCATCCAAACAAGCAACTGCAGACACCAAGCCAAAGGCGCGGACGGAGTCAGGGCGACTCGTCCGGCCGGCCAGTCTCTGAGCAGGCCTGTCTCCCCGTCTTGACAAAGGCCATGAGCGTTCTACTCTGCTGCGGATGTGACTAAACAAGGACATGACGATAAAGAGCGTGGCCCTGTGCCCGACTTACAGTAGGGTGGTCTGAAGTGGGCGCTCCTGCTGTGAAGAGGAGGCTGCTGTTAGCCGAGTTCCCACCATGCCCGCAGGACCCTTAGCCCAACCTTGGAGTAGAGTGGCCAGAGTGGCGGGGACGCATCCCCTCCACTTTCTCTTTCACACTTTGTGGTACTTTTCAGGTAGCTTTGTCCTCTACCCAGTCATGCCGGGGAGGGTGACAACATCTCCCAAGAAACACTCCCACCCTGAGGTCACCCCATGCCCCCCAACAGCCTTCCGCATCTACTTCGAGATCTTCGATGGCCCCGGAGAGGTGGACGCTCAGAGCCTGGAGAATATCCTGCTCCTGGTGGGCTTCTCTGTGACACCAGCCCAGGTGGAGGACGCTCTGATGAGTGCCGACGTGGACGGTGAGTGGGAGCTTCACTCTGAGCCCCCGAGGGCTGGCTTTACGGTGTGATGTGTGCAGCTACCCGGAGCTGTGCTCAAGGAATCCTGTGCTGGGTTCGATGTTCTGCTATCACAGTCTGGAAATCCTTAAACATCTGGGCATTTTTACTTTTGAGAGATTTTTGCTATAGGCCACGTGTGCTCGCTGGAGAGACAGAGACAGACAGAGAAACAGCAAAAAAACATCCCCGGGGGGATGGCCACGCCATAATCCCTTCTTCTCCATTCTCTTCTTGGGATTTTGGGCATGCACACACACGTGCCCGGTGTCAGATTTAAGCCCCTGGGGCCAGGACTTGAACTGCAGTCGACTACATGTGAGTCCAGCAACGTAACCATTACACCATCTGCTGGTCCCTGGAAATTCTTAACATTTGAACAAGGGTGCCATCCTGCCTTTTCATTTCCCCACAGATTATGTAGCTGGCCCTACCTCCAGGAGTTAATGCTCCCTAAGCTCTTATTCAGTGCCAACTTCTGGGGACCCAGAGATGGCCAAGTTCTACCTCTTGACCTCAAGTAGGGGAATCTCAGGGATCCCCAATCTTCAGGATCCCATGCACGCTTCATCAATAACTTGGTCATTCATTTCATGAGCTACATGACCTTGGACAAGACGTTCACTAACCCTCAGCTTCTCCATCTGTACAATGGGGCTGGTAATAGCACCTATGTCACTGGCCTGCTGTAAAGGTAAGATTAGGCAATTCAGGCAAAGCATGTAGCACAGTGCCTGGCACACAGAACGTACCCAGGAGACGTGAGCTGCTAGTGTTCCCCATCCAACAAATACTTACTGTCTACTGGGAGCCTGTCCCTGTGCAAGGCATCAAGGATAGCGGGAGCTATAAAACAGGAGACCCTGGCCACGAGGGGCTCACAGAAACAGCAGTTACCGCCATTAGGCAAGAAATCCAACAGAGACAGGACTAAAGTGACTTGCAAGGAGACAAGAAGGAAGGCTTCCTGGAGGAAGTGTTGCCTGGGCCAGGCTGTGAGAAACTAAGCAGGAATTAGTAGTTGCAGTAATAGTCTCGATTAAGGGAAGAGAGTGCAGGGTGAGGGGACTCATACGTGGTTTGGCGTGGCTGGATTAAAAAACTGTGTGAGAGGAATCAGCAGTTAGCATAATGGCTATGTCGCTGGATTCCCATGTAGTCGACCACGGTTCGTGTCCCGGACCCGATGGCCTAAAACTCACGCTGGGCGCATGTGCGTGTGTGCCCAAGATCCCGAGAGGAGAATGGAGGAGAAGGGATTGCGGCGTGACCATCCTCCCTGGGGGGTGATTTCTTGCTTTTTGTCTCTATGTCTGTCTCTGTCTGGTGAGCACACACACCCTGTGGCGAAAACCTCTCCAAAAAAAAAAAAAAAAACTGTGTGAGGCCCGGGGTCAGCAGGGCTTTGTGGGGACTGGGCTCCTGACCACCAGGTGTTATGACTCTGTCCCCTCCACTACTGCATTAAGGTGGGTCCTCACACAGAAGCCAAAGACTGCCTTCCTGTCCCCAGTTGTGCCCCTAAGCAGGAACCTCTTTCCTCTGTGCCACAGGTCTCATCAGTGACACAGGGATAGAGTATTTAGCGCCTCCATGTGGGTTTTTTAAGACGAGACACCATTCGTCAAGTAGTTCAGAGATCATCTATCAATACCTACCCGTAGTAGGCCCTGTGAGATACAATGTACAACAAAAGAGCGGTCCCTGCCTCCCAGAATTGCCATTAAAGCCTCCATTTCCTGTGGCTGAAGTACAGGGGGATTACGGGAGTGTTTGATATGGGATCTGACCTGACCTGGCCTGAATCTCACAATGGATGGTTAGGTGGAAGCGTCCATAGGATGCGTACTTAGTAGGAGTTGGAGGGTGAGGGGGAGAAACCTAGGAAGAGGAAGGAACACGTGCAAGGACCCTGAGCAGAGGAGAATGTGGCCCGAGGCAGGAACGCTGGTTAGTGCCAGGAAACAGCACAGGCTGAGGCTGGGGACAGGCGATAAGCAGGTGCTGCAAGGCCTCGAAGGCCAAGGTGGGCTTCTTGTGGGTGGGGTTCTCGTGCAGTGCCCAGCACACACAATCATAGCAGCTGCTGGCATCCAGCGAGCACACATGTGCATGCCCTATTCTAAGCGCCTTGGCTCTCATTCTGTCTCCTGCGAGGTGTTAGGAATATCCTCACCCTACAGATGAGAAAATTAAAGCTTAATGGGATTAAGAGGCTGTCAAAGTCACAGGCATAGTAAGTGGGTAGCTGGGGGCTGAACCCACCGCTGCCCCCAGGTTTTCATTTTCACCGTCTACGTCCCTGTGTGCCCTACATTAGCAATGCCCAGGCCCACTGGAGAAGGCCCCTGCCCACACCGTTACTCCTTTGGCCTCCACAGGAGATGGTCACGTGGACTTCAGAGACTTCTTGGCTGTGATGACAGATACCAGGCGCTTCTTCTGCTCTGTAGGTGAGCAGAAATGAGCCCAGGGCATTCAGATCTGGAGGAGCCAGGAGGCTTGCAGGGATGGTGGGCATTCAGGGCCACCCTGAATGTTAATGGCAGACACCATCCCATGTTCCCAGAACAGAACACCCTGGCAGACATGGCTCCCCAGAACCCCCACACTCTGCTCTTTGAGATCCTGTCCCTGCTGGTGGAGATGCTGGCCTTACCGGAAGCAGCCTTAGAGGAAATCACGAAGTGAGTAGGGCTGGCTTGCTGGGGGAGGAGGGCTATAGCACCTAATGTTTTGGCAGCTGAAGAACTCTGGTAGTTAAGTCTCTCAGTCATAGTAAAGGAAGTCTGGGTAAGACTGGCTTAAGCAAATGAGGAACACATTGTCTCTAATAACTGGTCAGGGCTTCAGGAATGGCTGGATTCAGGACGCTGAATGTCAGTAAGGCCTTCTCTCTCCTTTGTCTACCCCTGTGCACTGGCTTCGAGCTCACCTAGGCTCTCCGCACAGTGGGAAGGGTGAACCTGGGAGCCTCCTACCCACATTGTGCCAGCTCAGCAACTCGGCACAATGGACTTCCTCCCTGCAGTACCCACAGAGCAATCCCAGAAAACAGACTGGATGGATTACCTGGTGCCAGAGGACACAAGGGCCTCCTAGTGCCTGCAGGGCAGGTGAGGGTAGGTAGTGATTCATCCAAGGGAGAGATGGTCACAGGTGAAAACAACATGAACATCCCAGGGACAGAAGCGTAGAGCGAAGGCAGAATGGCCCAGCTCACCTCCAAATAGAAGTTCCAGGTTCTTGCGCTTCAGAGGAACACTAGCCTTTATTTCTTGTCTTTGAAATGAACATATTTTGATACTTGTTGCTCAAGAAATGCTAGCTTTGGGTCATCTGGTAGCATGGTGATTAAGACTACTGGATTACACACAACGGACTGTGTGGTTTGAATCCCCGACTCAGTGGCATGATGTGCCAGGGGTGTGTGCATGTGTGCTCAAAATCCCTGGAGAATGGGGAACCAGCAGTTAGCGTAATGGCTATGTCGCTGGACTCCCATGTAGTCGACCGCGGTTCGTGTCCCAGACCTGGTGGCTTAAAACTCACGCCGGGCGCGTGTGCGTGCGTGCCCAAGATCCCGAGAGGAGAATGGAGGAGAAGGGATTGCGGCGTGACCATCCCCCCTGGGGGGGGGGATTTCTCGCTTTGTCTCTATGTCTCTCTCTGTCTGTCTGGCGAGCACACGCGCCCTACAGTGAAAATCTCTCCAAAAAAAAAAAAAATCCCTGGAGAATGGATAATCATTTTTTAAAAATAATTATTTAATTTATTCATTCACTTATTTTGACCAGAGAGAGAGAGAGAGAGAAAGGGAAAGTGAAAAAGCAAGCCACCAGGTCTGGGACTTGAACTGTGGTCAGCCATATGGAAGTGTCCAGTGCCTTAACCACCACGCCACTCACTGGTCCCTGAGAATGGATAATAATTTTTGAAAAGAAGAAAGACAGGAAGGAAAGAAAGGAAAAGAAAATAGATGTCAGCTTTTGGGCTGGTCCCTTAAAACAGTGGACAAGCCCTAAACATAGGAAGCCAGATCCCACGTGGCCAATCAGTTTAAATCTCTGTCCAGGCGGCTGGAAAAACCTATCAGGTGCATGTATATGTGTACCCGGAATCTCGATGGGGTGGAGAAAGAGGAAAAGGGATTGCAGCATGGCCACACTTCATGGTGAGTGCTTTCTCCCTCTCTTTCTGGTAGGTATGCGCTCAGAGAGAGAAAGCAAGCCATCAGGTCCAGGACTCAAACCGTGGTCAGTCATGTGGGAGTCCTGCACCTTAACCACCATGCCACCTGCTGGCCCTCTTTTTTCACCTTTTTTTTTGGAGAGGTTTTTCGCTATAGGGCGCGTGCGCTCGCCAGACAGAGAGAGACATAGAGACAGAAAGCGAGAAATCACCCCCCAGGGGGGATGGTCACGCCGCAATCCCTTCTCCTCCATTCTCCTCTCGGGATCTTGGGCACGTTCGCACACGCGCCCGGTGTGAGTTTTAAGCCACCGGGTCCGGGACGCAAACCGCGGTCGACTATGTGGGAGTCCAATGACATAGCCATTACGCTAACTGCTGGTTCCCTTTTTTCACCTTTTGAGGTATAATTCACATTCAGTGAAATGCACAAATCTTAAGTGCACCGATGTAGGTTACTCTGAGTTCTTCAGAGAAACAGAATGAAAACGACATATAAATAGATTTATTATAAGAAACACTCACACAGTTATGGAGGCTAAGAAGTTCTAGGATGTGCAGTCAGCAAACCAGAAATCCAAAGAGCCCGTGACGTAGTTCCAATTCAGTGTGAAGGCCTGAGACTCAGGAGAGTCAATAGTGGAAGTTCCAGTTTGAGGCTGACTCCAAAGGCAGGAGATCACTGTCCAGTGCAAAGACAGGCAGGGCGGGCACTATTTCTCCTTTAGCCTTTTTGTTCTATTCAGGGCTTCCGGGGATTGTATGAGACCCATCCACTCTCAGAGATCAATCTGCTTTACTCAGTCTACCGTGAGTCAGTCACATGCTAATCTCATCTAGAAACACCCCCACAGATAGATATACCAGAATAATGTGTAGCCAAGTACCTGGGCACCCAGTGGTCCAGCTCAGCTGGCCCATAAAACTAACCATCACATATTGTGTAAGTCTCAACAGATGCACACACCCAGGCAGTCTGAACCCCTATCAAGATATAAAGAACTTGGGGGCTAGCAGGTGATGCAATGGTTAAGATGATGGACTCCCACAAGGCTGATCCTAGTTCAAGTCCTAGACCCAGTGGCTTGAAAATCATGCTGGGCCCATGTGTGTACATGCCCATAATCCCAGGAGACTGGAGGAGAAGGGATTGTAGCTTGACCATCCATCCCAAGGGGTGTTTTCTCCCTCTCCCTCTCACTATCTCTCGCTCTGGTGAGTGCAAGTACCCTATGGCAAAAACTTTAAAAAGATATAAAGAACTTTGCCCTCAGGTCCCTTCCCAGTTTGATCTCTGAACCAACCCCTCCAGAGGCAATCACTTCTCTAATTTTTTTTTTTTTTTGAGAGGTTTCCAACCCCTCCAGAGGCAATCACTTCTCTAATTTTTTTTTTTTTTTTGAGAGGTTTTCACTATAGGGTGCATGGGCTCGCCAGAGAGAAAGACAGAAAGCGAGAAATCACCCCCCCAAGGGGGATGGTCACGCCGCAATCCCTTCTCGTCCATTCTCCTCTTCAGATCTTGGGCACGCACGCACACGCGCCTGGCGTGTTTTAAGCCACCGGGTCCGGGATGCGAACCGCGGTCGACTACATGGGAGTCCAGCGACATAGCCATTACGCTAACTGCTGGTTCCCACTCCTCTAATTTTTTCTACCGAAGAATGGTTTTGCCTCTTTTATGACTTCATGTAAAAGGAAATAGTCTTCTTGTCTAGTCTCTCTCTCACCATGTTTTGTTTTTGAGATTCACCCATATTCCCCCCTTTTTTTTTTTTTTGAGTAGTATTCCACTGTAGAAATACACAAGCTGTTTGTTCATTCTCTTGTTGACAGACATGGGCTGCTCCCAGTTTTGTTGTTGTAATACATAAAGCTGCTATTAACATTTCTGCACACTTCGTTTTGTGGATATATATTGTTTTTCTTGGGTAAATACCCATGAGTGCAGTTGCCAGAGTATCTGTGCTTAGTTATAAGAAACTGCCGGGGTCAGCCTGTGGTGTCATGGTTAACATGGCTAGATGCCATGTGGCCAACCACAGTTTGAATCTTGGATCTGGTGGCTTGAGAAACACACTCAGTGTGTGTGCATGCATGCCCAAAATTTAAACAGGATGGAGAAATGGAGACAGGATCGCTGCTTGACCATACCCAATTGTGGATGTGCATTCTCCTTCTCTGTTTCTCTCTGGTGCGTGCACTCATTCTGACAATTAAAGAAAAAAAAGGAAGAGGGGCTGGCAGGTGGTGTGGTGGTTAAGGTCACTGGATTCTCACATGGCCGACCATGGTTCAAGTCCCGGACTTGGTGGCTTGCTTTCTCGCTTTCCCTGTCTCTCTCTCGCTGGTGGTCAAATAAAAAAATAACATATAAAATTAAATAAATAATTCTTTTTAAAAATTATTTATTTATTCATTCATTTATTTTTTAATTTGACCAGAGAGAGACAGAGAGGGAGAGAGAGAGAGGAAGTAAGCCACCAGGTCCAGGACTTGAACTGTGGTCGGCCATGTGGGAGTGTCCAGCACCTTAACCACCACACTACCTGCTGGCCCCCATAAATAATTCTTAAAAAAAAAAAAAGAAAAAGAAACAAAACAAAAACCTTACCCAGAATGGCACCAGCATGCTTGTCTTTGTTTTGTTCTAATTACCATTCTTACTTCAATTTAAAATTTCATTTTCTTTCATGAGCGACTTCTCTCTCTCTCTCTTGCTCTGTCAAATTTAAAATAAATAAATAAATAAAGTTAAATAAAATAATTCTTTTAAAAATATATAAAAGAAACTGCCAGAACTTTTCCCAAATGGTCATACCCTTTAATACTCCCACCAATAACATATGAGCACGCCAGTCGCTTCACATCTTGTGCAGCTTTAGCATCGTCAGTTTCCTTTTACTTTAGTCATTCTGGTGGATGCTTTGTTTCACACTCACTTCTATTTGTATTTCTGAATACTTCATTGTCAAGTTTTCCATAATTTTTAACTTTTTCTTTTAGTTTGCTATAGGGCGCATATACTCACTAGAGAGAAAGAAACTGAGAATCCCCCCCAGTAGATGACCATGCCACAATCCCTTCTCCCCTGTTCCCCTCTTGTGATTTTGGGAATGCATACATACGTGCCCAGTGTGATTTTCTTTCTTTTTAAATCATTTTATTCCGGGGCCAGCAGGTGGCATGGTGATTAAGGGCGCTGGACTCCCACATGGCTGACCGTCCACATGGTTGACTGTGGTTCAAGTCATGGACCCGGTAGCTTGCTTCCTCACTTTCCCTCTCTCTCACTCTGTCCCTGTCTGGTCACATGAAAATAAATAAATAACGTTGAATAAAATTTTTTGAAAGAATTATTTTATTGGGACCAGCAGTTAGCGTTAATGGCTATGTCGCTGGACTCCCACATAGTTGACTGCAGTTCGAGTCCTGGACCCGGTAGCTTAAACTCACGCCGGGCACGTGTGTGTGCGTGCCCAAGATCCCGAGAGGA